TAAGCAATACAGTTGTGAAAACTGGGGTGCATGTATCTTTCTAAATTAGGGTTTTTATGTTTTCCAGATATTTGCTGAGGAATGGAATTGCTGGATCATAGAGTAACTCTTTTTCAGTTTTTTAAAGAACCTCCATACTATTTTCCATAGCAGCTGCACCAATTTACACTCCTACCATCCGTGTAGGAGGGTCACCTTTCCTTCACACCCTCTCCAGCATTCATTATTTGTAGACTTTAAATAATGGTCATTATAACCAATGTGAGGTGATACTTCACTGCAGTTTTGATCTGCATTTCTCTAACAATTAGTGACTATAAAGAAAACAGCACCAAAGAATTGATGCTTTTGAACTGTGGTGTTGGAGAAGACTCTTGAGAGTCTCTTGAACTGCAAGGAGATCAAACCAGTCAATCTAGGAGAAGGGGATGACAGAGGATGAGATGGTTGGATGGCATCACTGACTCAATGGACATGAGTTTGAGCAAGCTCTGGGAGCTGGTAATGGACAGAGAAGCCTGGCATGCTGCAGCTCATGGAGTTGCAGAGTCACACATGATTTTTGACTAAACTGAATAATTAGTGATGTTGAGTATCTTTTCATGGGTCTGTTGACCATACGTATGTCTTTGGAGGAATTTCTGTTTAGGTCTTCTTTACATTTTTTATTAGATTGTTTGTTTCTCTGATATTGAGCTGTATAAGTTGTTGTATATACAGATATTGACTGCTTTTATATAGACTAGAAACGAAGTATCAAAAAGAGAAATTAAGGAAACAATCCCATTGACATCATATCAAAGGAAAAAAAAAAAACCCTGGGAATAAACCTACCTAAGGAGTTAAAACACCTGTAGTCCAAAGCCTGTAAGATACTCATGAAAGTAATGGAAGATGATACAAACAGATTAAAAGATAAACTGTGTTATTGGATTGAAAGAATCAATATTGTTAAAAATAACCATACTACCCAAGACAATTTACAGATTCAATGCAATCTCCATCAAATTACCAGTCATATTTTTCACAAAACCAGAACAAAAAATTTTAAAACATTTGTATGAAAACAGGAAAGACCCTAGATGGCCGAAACAGTCTTGAGAAAGGAGGAATCACAGTCCCTGACTTAAGACTATACTACAAAGTTGCAGTAATGAAAAAGTATGTTACTGTCACAGAAACTAGACACATAGATTAATGGAACAGGATAGAAAACCCAGAAATAAACCCATGCATTTATGATCAGTTAATCTAAGATGAAAGAGGTAGCAATATGTAATAAAGAAAAGGCAGTCTCTTCAATAAATAGTGTGGGGAAATCTGCATGACTGCATGTAAATGAATGAAATTAGATCATTCTCTATTACCATATACAAAAATAAAGTAAAAATGAATAAATGAGCAAAGACCTGTAAGGCAAGATACTTAGTAAGACAAGATCTTAGAAGAAAACATTGGCAGAATACTCTTTGACATAAATCACAGCACTATTTTTTTTTTTTTGGATTTGACCCCTAAAGTAATGGAAGCAAAAGCTGAAATAAACAAATGTGACCTGGTTAAACTTAAAAGAATTTGAAACCTAAAGGAAACCATTAAAAAACCATGAAGGCAACCTATGGAAAAGGAGAAAATAATTGCAAATGATGTGATCAACAAAGTATAAATTTCCAAAATATACTGATAGGATTCAAAGTAAATTTAAAGAGATTCCCAACTCCAGAGGCTGAGAAACAAATTACTCTGCTTGTACAAGACTTCAACTGGCTGTTGACGGTAGTCCTTGATAGAACTGCTTCATATCATGATTTTGTGTGCATGCATACACACACACAGGAACAAAAATGTCACAAAACAACATTACTATTGCTCTGTGATCTGATATCTTCTGTGGTACCAGTTCTATTCTAGTTCATATAAAAGACAAAATGGTGATCAAGAGGCACAAAATTAATTTCATAATCCACCGACTACATCTGAAGTTTGACAAACATTGTCCCTGCCTGTTGGGCTGGGCACCTGGTCCTTGCTAGCATCACATCAGGAACTTCATTGTTGTTTCAGATTGTCACAGCAGCCTTGAAAGGCTGACCCTAATTTCCAGTAAGGGAACAACTGTCTTGGAAGATAAATAATCTACCCCGAGCCTAATAACTAATGAGAAGTTGATTCAGAACTTAGAACTGTCTTAATAACTAATGAGAAGTTGAATTGGAACTTAGAACTGTCTGACTCCAAAAAATATATACATATATTTTTTTGTTTTCAATAAATGTTAGTTAAACCAAATGATGTTCTCATGAGATATTTTCCCCAAAACATAACAAAAGTTTATAAGGGTGGAGCAAAGCCAGAAAATATGACTTCTCCTGTTTTGTATCTCATTTAGAGAATATCAGTTTTGAAATGGGTTTATTCATTTATGTGTCAAGGGCTAATAAGTGTCAGGAGAAGATATTCAAAATATTACCCCTCCCCAGGCAAGAGCACTTTGTCTTTATAATTTCTTGCTGGCTCAGAGATGGAGAAAGTCTGTTGGTTAGGTTACTTGGAGTTAACTTGTCTACGTGCAGAAAATGTACAACCCTCTTCCCCTCAAATGAGCAGGAAGCAGTGATGCTTGTGTGTCAACACCCTGATTTAGGTAACCTAGGAAGCTGAGAGCAGACACTGCAGAAGGGGGAGGCCAGTGCTGTTTCTTTGAGTTGCCCTGCTTAGGTGAGCCAGGCCCATATCATCTTCCCTGAGTCCCCGTTACCCATGATCCTGGCAACAGCAGCAAGCTTCTGAGGTCATCTCTCTCTCTCTCTCTTTCTCTCTCTCTCTCCCCCCCCCCCCCCCAGGTTTATCCCTATCACTGTTGATCCTGCCATGAACAGGTCAGAATTAGGGATGTGTGATAGCAGCAAGGACCTGGGTAGGAACCAGAGACAGAGGAGTGGGGACCTAGACCATCAGTCCTTGGGGAAAGTTTAAAAGATGAATACTGTGTTCTTAAGAAGTGCTCCTCAATTTGTGTTCAAAATTTCAGGAAAAAGCAAAAGTGAAAGCTTTTCCTAAATAATTTCCTTAAACACAACAGGTAGTTGAAGTGTATGCATCCTTTGTGCTCAAGATCTGAAGTAGTTAAGTATATTCCCCAGGAAGAACACCAGTTGCGATTACATTCAGGGAGTAGCTGCTTACCTGAAAGGACCTGGATAATGGAGGGAAGATGGAGGAGAGAAGGGTGAGGAATATTGGGGATCAGCCTCCCCTCCCCTCACCAGTTGTTTGTGTAAACTTCATAGATACAGCTAAAGGATGAGAAATCACCTGCATGTGGGAATCTTAGGGTTGAAAATTACAAAGAGTAAAATGTTTTTATAAAAATCTTAAGTAGAATGATGGGTATTCCCCTGACAAGGAGCTCTTACTATTGCTTAGGTGGTTGTTAGTTTTTCATTGTAAATTCAAGAGTTTTAAGGGAGACTTTAAATTTGGGTCTCTAGATTTTTCAGTTCAATTCAATAATCATCTTGAAATATGTCCAGTGATTTTCAATGCTTTGGAGGATTATCAGCCACTTAATCAACTTTGTGCAAATGAAGCTCCCCATATAGTATATTTTTAGTTTTGGATTTTCCTTAGGGATGTATCTCTTTTGGTGGCACACTCTCCTGTGCCTTCTGCACTCATTTCTCGATCACTAGTCTTAAAACTGAGACAACAGGGAAAGAAGGTATGGGAGGCTCTCTGAGTGTCATTCTTTGTCATGACTAGGGAAAGGAAATGTCTGTCTTCTTCATCTTTTTTCTCAGGCTTTTGTGAAGTGAGGAGGAAAGTCCACCCCCAAGGCCAGGAGGGATTTAAGACTAGTGATTCCGAGCAGGTCTGGGAACTTGTGGAAGAGTCAGGTTTCCTCTTGTTCCCACACGTGTGCCTCCCCTTGTTCTAAACCCTTCACTGAATGGACACTGTTGGGCTTGTCTCTGCTGCCCATATTCTTATGGCCTGGTTTCTTTTTTTTTTTTTTTCCATTTATTTTTAACTGATTCAAATGAATTCTTTTTAATGGCTGAGTAATATTCCATGGCCCGGTTTCTTAGAGCCTTCCAGAAGAACATGTAAATGGTCTACATGAGCTTATGTACAAGATTCTCTCTTGAAACTCAGGAGGCATATATTTCCAGTGTAATTTATTTGTGGCTCCTCCTGAAGTAGGTGAATAGGAAAAGCTATTTAAATAATTTTATCATGGCTCACATCACAGTGGGTTTCAGGTCATGCTGGCCTTGCAGTTAGTAACAAGGTTCTATGAGGCAGGTCATCCTGAGGCACAGGTGAGAGAACATGGGGACCAGCTGATGTCGATTCAGACGTGATCTCTCCATGGACAGAGGTGCCTCAGGCCCCAGGAGCTGACGTTCTCATTGAAAGTGTGGAGATGTTCCATTCACACCTTGGAGAGATTCCATATCCTGGAAGACAGTCTGACCAATGGAGAAAATAGCCTAGTTTATTCTTCAGTGCCATGGGTAAATATTGAATGGTTTTGCTTTGAAGCACAAACCTCAACTAATCATGCAGTTGGTATTTCCCAGTCACACCAGGATTGACAGTTAATTTATGTAGATATTGATGTAAAGTTTCTCATGTAATTATATTGTCAGTTTGAGTGTATGTTTAAGCAGATATTTATTACCAGAATGGCAGGTTTTTTTTTTTTTTTAGAAAAATCAAATCTTCCTTTCTCTTCTTCAGTTTTTTTTTCTTAAGATGAAAATACTTCTTCAACACTTTCTTCTGTTAGTATTTAATAGTCCAGAGGATATTTTGTAACACACTTTGTACAATGGAAAATTATTTTAGAGATACTGTTTTGTAAACATACATTTGTAACTGTAATATTAATAATTGCAGTGAATTTTCATATTTTGTATTTTCATTCTTTTCTATAAGCATTGGTTTAAAATGAAAAGAGATTAAGGTAATAACGTTCACTATTTTGCTGTATTTAGGAACCTGTTTTATTCACTGGAACAGTGAGGAAAAATCTGGATCCGTTTAATGAGTATTCAGAGGAGGAACTGTGGAATGCCTTAGAAGAGGTAAATTTATGTAATATAATTAACTTGTTAGCATCAGTATCTGTGTGTGTACATTTATAGTTGCAGATAATTAAAGGAAATTTATAGTTTTGACTTTGTTTACTCTCTAGAAGAACAGTGATGAGATGGGGGCACTTAAAATTTATGTATTGATAATGAAAACCAACAATATAATGCCCCATGTTTTCATTTTAGTTTTTCTATAGAACCCCAAGCAACAAGCTACATCATTTTGTCCTTAGCAGAGCACTAAATTAAACATTAAAACTATGGGATCAAATCTATTAGTGATCTAGTAAATTAATTACCCTAATTACCCTCCAATGTTCATTTTATTCCTCTGGCCTTAGGGGCTATCTAAGTGGAGACAATGGTTTTTAATTATTAACTGAAAGATAAATAAGATCATACCAATAAAATGCTATGAAGTTTCATAAGAAAGTGTTTATGAAAGTAAATTATATAGTTGGAATGTGATGACAATTACTTTGGTGATTATAAAATTTTAATGCTGTAGCCTGAATGCAGGCAACAGAACCATGCACTTTGGCTCAGTTTTTACATGGGTAGTTTAGTTCCTAGAGGAGTTTCTGATATTTGTGTCATGTTTCCCCTTGCTCTACTTCATTGAATTTCCTCACCTTTGTGTGAAAAAATTTTGACTATTAAGTTGCTGTTGGTTTGTATATTTTAATACTAATTATTTTGCGTATTAGCCCTAGTTTTACAAATTGTTTCTCCTGATGGCAGAAACTATGCTTCTAAGCCACAGACAGACTTCTAATCTCTCATATGACCTAGCTCAGTCTTTTGCTTTTAAAAAGTAGCACTTAATAAATAGGTACTGTTTGGTTGATCTCTTCATTTCAGAGAAGTATGGCTTATTTCTTTAAAAAATTTTGTGTTTCACAAATCCAGCATTGATAGTATCTCTGTTAGGACACACATGTGTCTCGTCATACACGAAACCAAGACACAGAAATCTGGGCGTCAGCAGCCTGTGTATCAGGAGCCATGTGCTTCAGTCCTTGCTGTGGGACAGCTGACATGTCCATTACCCGGGGCCCTGTAGGTAAATGGGCTCCCCCTGACTTCCTTTACTGCTTGTCGAATCTAATAAAAACTCTTCCCCATCTGTTGATTGCATTTACATGTTTCCTTCCAGTCCACACCAACCTTTCTTTTTGAGAAATAAGGAGGTTCCGTGAAATGTGGGAAACATCTGAAATCTGTGTTAACCTCCTGTGAGAGGTGTTGGCACCTACTAGATACACTACACAATAGGTTACTTGAAAAATGGTAATGATGATAGAAACAGGGTACCTTTTAAGTTCAGTTTATTATTTTTCAGTTTTGCTATATACTACCATTTTCCCAACCTCAAAAATGTTGCAAAGTTGAGTGGGCCTTAGGAAACATCACTATGAACAAAGTTACTGGAGGTTATGGAATTACAGTTAAGCTATTTCAAATCCTTAAAAGATGACGCTGTGAAAGTGATGCACTCAATATGTCAGCAAATTTGGAAAACTCAGCAGTAGCCACAGGACTGAAAAAGGTTGGTTTTCATTCCAATTCCTGAGAAGGGCAATGCCAAAGAATGCACAAACTACCACACAGTTGCACTCATCTCACACACTAGTAAAGTAATGCTTAAAATTCTCCAAGCCAGGTTTCATCTACATGAGACTGTGAACTTCCAGATGTTCAAGCTTGTTTTAGAAAAGGCAGAGGAACCAGAGATCAAATTGCCAACATCTATTGGATCATCAAAAAAGCAAGAGAGTTCCAGAAATACATCTATTTCTGCTTTGTTGACTACGCCAACGCCTTTGACTGTGTGGATCACAACAAACTGTGGAAAATTCTGAAAGAGATGTGAATACCAGACCATCTGACTTGCCTCTTGAGAAACCTGTGTGCAGGTCAGGAAGCAACAGTTAGAACTGGAAGTGGAACAACAGACTGGCTCCAAATAGGAAAAGGAGTACGTCAAGGCTGTATATCGTCACCCTGCTTATTTAACTTATACGCAGAGTACAACACGAGAAACACTGGGCTGGAAGAAGCACAAGCTGGAATCCAGATTGCTGGGAGAAATATCAATAACCTCAGATATGTGGATGACACTACCCTTATGGCAGAAAGTGAAGAAGAACTGAAGAGCCTCTTGATGAAAGTGAAAGAGCAGAGTGAAAAATTTGGCTTAAAGCTTAACATTCAGAAAACTAAGATCGTGGCATCTGGTGCCACTTCATGGCAAATAGATGGGGAAACAGTGGAAACAGTGGCTGACTATTTTGGGGGGCTCCAAAATCACTGAAGATGGTGATTGCAGCCATGAAATTGAAAGATGCTTACTCCTTGGATGGAAAGTTATGACCAACCTAGAGAGTATATTAAAAAGCAGAGACATTACTTTGCCAACAAAGGTCCATCTAGTCAAGACTATGGTTTTTCCATTGGTCATGTATGGATGTGATAGTTGGACTATAAAGAAAGCTGAGTGCCAAGGAATTGATGCTTTTGAACTGTGGTGTTGGAGAAGACTCTTGAGAGTCCCTTGGACTGCAAGGAGATCCAACCCATCTATCCTAAAGGAGATCAGTCCTGGGTGTTCATTGGAAGGACTGATGTGGAAGCTGAAACTCCAGTACTTTGGTCACCTGATGTGAAGAGCTGACTCATTTGAAAAGACCCTGATGCTGGGAAAGATCTAGAGCAGGAGGAAAAGGTGACGACAGAGGATGAGATGGTTGGATGGCATCACTGACTCGATTGGCATGGGTTTGGGTGGACTCCAGGAGTTGGTGATGGACAGGGAGGCCTGGTGTGCTGCGGTTCATGTGGTCGCAAAGATTCAGACATGACTGAGCAACTGAACTGAACTGAAACATTACAAAATTGTAACGTGTTAATAAGATTATATCTTTAGAGAACAAAACTTTCTGTAATTTTTTTAAGTTTCCTTTTAGTGTACCAACTCCTCTGCAAAATGTAGTTGGTAAAGTTGATTGAACTATAAAAATCCTTTTCGATTTTCTCTTTAAACCACATTGGGGAAAATAGCTTCAATTTCTGAGAGAGTTTCTGAACTAATTCCTAGGTGGGGGTTTTTGGTGAATGACATGTGGCAGGCTTGGGGGGACATTGATATCGTTTTGTCCTGACTTGACTCTACCCACCATCTTTCTTAGTGAACACTAATTGGAAACAGCTCTTCCCATCACCTGGCTGTACATGTAAGATACACAAGAAGTTGGGAGGACTTCAAAGCTCTAATGTCTAAGAGGCTTGTCTACTTCAGCAGCAATTTGTTTAGGAAAATGTTCTTTCTGTATCCACAGGTACAACTCAAAGAAGCCATCAAAGATCTTCCTAGTGAAATGTATACCCAATTGGCAGAATCAGGATTGAACTTGAGTGTTGGACAGAGACAACTAGTGTGCCTTGCCAGGGCTATTCTCAGGAAAAATCAGATATTAATTCTTGATAAAGCCACATCCAGTGTGGATCCAAGGTATGGAGCTAAGGTCCATGAAACCTGGAATCCAAATTGTGAATGTGGTAAATGGAAAACATTTAGTGATGCTGAGAAATGTTTCTATGCTCTCTTTGCCCCAAAGATATTTCTTAATAATATTAATCACAGAAAACAAAGGAAGAAACCAAGACATATTATATGTATGTTAATGTTGTTATGAGGCATCCTAAGAGAGCTGGATTCCTAAATCCAGCTCCTGATAGTTTCAAGCAATTTCAAGGGAAGCCTATTTTCCATCATTTTATGAAAAATAGTAAATTTCTAAATAGACTTTTTATACTTAGCTTTTTAGAAACAAGATTATGTGTTAAAGTATTGATTTTTAATTTTTAACTATTTAGTCTGCTTTTCCTGTCTCCACTAAAGGATATCAATTTCTCTGATTCCAGAACTGATGAATTAATACAAGAAAAAATCCATGAGAAATTTGCCCAGTGCACTGTGCTAACCATCACACATAGGTTGAGTACCGTTATTGACTGTGAATGGATATTGGTAAGACCCTCACCATTTCATTTGTTTCCATTTATATTCAATTTTTCAACTGATCCTTCCTTGTAAAACTTAAAAGAAGCCTCCAGTAATTTAATTTTCTCCTCTCATTCCTGAAAATAACTCATCTAACTTTATTTTCAAAATGTGATATTAAATAATATATCCAATAATCTTATATTTTCATATAATATTCTTATATTTGAATGGTCACTTTTTAGGATGTCCAACCATGAAAATATTCCAAACCCAAGTTATAGTTTCATATTTCAAAATGGTAGAACACAGTGATTTTTACTGTCACAGTTGTTTCAGCATTTTTCAATTTCTTTAATCAAAAATGTCCCCTGCAGCTTTATTTTTGGTTTTTGGTATTCCAGAATTAATAGTAGCAGATTATTTTTATTATCTAATTCCAGGTCATACTGTCACCTTGAAACGTGTGATTGGTTAGGGAAACAGTGAGGAAGGACAGATTTTGGAAAGCCTCTCCACTGGTCATTTCTGTCTTATCCCTCAGCACCTGCTTCACAGATGTGAATGTCTGTATCCCCTGAACCAATCAGCTTTGTTGCTGTTATCAAAGTATGTTCAATTTATTTAATGCTTTACTTACTCATGTGTGTTACTTGCTCAGTCATGTCCAACTCTTTGTGACCCCATGAACGCCAGGCTCCTCTGTCCATGGGATTTTCCAGGCAAGAATACTGGAATGGGTGGCCATTTCCTACTCCATGGGATCTTCCCAACCCAGAGGCTGAACCCGGTTCTCCCACATTGCAGGCAGATTCTTTACCATCTGAGCCGCTAGGGAAGCCTGTCTCCTGGTCAATTTCTGTAACCTCAGATTTTTCTCAATTAATCAGTGTACAAATCTTTAACATGCTTTCAGTTCAGTTCAGTCACTGAGTCGTGTCTGACTCTATGACACCATGAATTGCAGCACGCCAGGCCTCCCTGTCCATTACCAATTCCTGGAGCCTACTCAAACTCATGTCCATCGAGTTGGTGATGCCATCCAGACATCTCATCCTCTGTTGTCCCCTTCTCCTCCTGCCCCCAACCCCTCCCAGCATCAGGGTCTTTTCTGAGTCAATTCTTCGCATGATGTGGCCAAAGTATTGGAGTTTCAGCTTCAGCATCAGTCCTTCCAATGAACACCCAGGCCTGATCTCCTTTAGGATGGACTGGTTGGATCTCCTTGCAGTCCAAGGGACTCTCTAGAGTCTTCTCCAACACCACAGTTCAAAAGCATCAATTCTTTGGAGCTCAGCTTTCTTTATATTCCAATTATCACATTCATTCATGAGCAATGGAAAAACCATAGCCTTGACTAGATGGACTTTGTTGGCAAAGTAATGTCTCTGCTTTTTAATATGTTATTTAGGTTGGTCATAACTTTCTATCCAAGGAGTAAGCATCTTTCAATTTCATGGCTGCAATCACCATCTGCAGTGATTTTGGAGCCCCCCCCACCGCCAGAATTGTCAGCCACTGTTTCCACTGTTTCCCCATCTATTTGCCATGAAGTGATGGGACCAGATGCCATGATCTTAGTTTTCTGAATGTTGAGCTTTAAGCCAACTTTTTCACTCTCCTCTTTCACTTTCATCAAGAGGCTCTTCAGTTCTTCTTTACCTTCTGCCATAAGGGTGGTGTTATCTGTATATCTGAGGTTATTGATATTTCTCCAAGCAATCTTGATTCCAGCTTGTACTTCATCCAGCCCAGCATTTCTCGTGATGTACTCTGCATATAAGTTAAATAAGCAGGGTGATAATATACAGCCTTGACGTACTCCTTTTCCTATTTGGAGCCAGTCTGTTGTTCCACTTCCAGTTCTAACTGTTGCTTCCTGACCTGCACACAGGTTTCTCAAGAGGCAAGTCAGATGGTCTGGTATTCCCATCTCTTTCAGAATTTTCCACAGCTTGTCGTGATCCACACAGTCAAAAGCTTTGGCATAGTCAACAAAGCAGAAATAGATGTATTTCTGGAACTCTCTTGCTTTTTTGATGATCCAGCAGATGTTGGCAATTTGATCTCTGGTTCCTCTGCCTTTTCTAAAACCATCTTGAACATCTGGAAGTTCATGGTTCATGTATTGCTGAAGCCTAGCTTGGAGAATTTTAAGCATTACTTTACTAGTGTGTGAGATGAGTTCACTTGTGCGGTAGTTTGAGCATTCTTTGGCATTGCCTTTCTCAGGGATTGGAATGAAAACTGACCTTTTCCAGTCCTGTGGCTACTGTGGAGTTTTCCAAATTTGCTGACATATTGAGTGCAGCACTTTCACAGCGTCATCTTTAAGGATTTGAAATAGTTCAACTGGAGTTCCATCACCTCCACTAGCTTTGTTTGTAGTGATGCTTCCTAAGGCCCAGTTGACTTCACATTCCAGGATGTCTGGATCTAGGTGAATGATCACACCATCGTGATTATCTGGGTCGTGAAGATCTTTTTTGTACAGTTCTTCTATGTATTCTTGCCACCTCTTCTTAATATCTTCTGCTTCTCTTAGGTCCATACCATTTCTGTGCTTTATTGTGCCCATCTTTGCATGAAATATTCCCTTGGTATCTCTAATTTTCTTGAAGAGATCTCTAGTCTTTCCCATTCTATTGTTTTCCTCTATTTCTTTTCAGCCCGGCCCCGCCCACCTTTCTAGTTCTACCCCACTCTGCTCCCTTCTGTCCTTTACAGCTGTGATGATTTGCTGGTTTTCAATTCAGCAAATCATCACAAATAACAAATAATGTTCTTTTTCAAACGTTGATTTTTGAATCAGTTTCTTTATTGCTTGCTTTTGAAATACAGGCATAACTTGTTTTATTGAAGTTCCCATATAGTACTTTTTTTTTTTTTTGAACAAATGAAAGGTTTGTCAAGCAAGTAGAGAAAGTCTACAGGTACCATTTTTCCAACAGCATTTTCTCACTCCAGGTCTGTGTCACCTTTCAGTAATTCTCACAGTATGTCCAACTTTTTCACTATTATTACCTTTGTGATGTTGATCTGTGATCAGTAATCTTCGGTGTTACTTGCTGAAGTCTACGATGATAGTGTTTTTTAGCAATAAATTATTGTTTTTATTTTAATTTATTTTTAATTTAAAGATAAATGCTTTACAGAATTTTGTTTTCTATCATACATCAACAAGAATCACCCATAGGTGCACCCCATTAGCAATAAATTATTTTTTAAATTAAGGTCTATATGTTGTTTTCTCAGGCATAATGCTACTGCACACTTGCAAGGCTACAGTGTAGTCTAAACATAACTTTTATACACCCTGGGAAACCAGAAATTTTGTATAACTGATTTTATTGTGATATTCAGTATATTCTGGTGTTGTGGAACTGAACCCCCAATATCTCCAAGGGATCTCTGTCCCTCTTTCCTTTCTGGAAAGCAGATGACCATCTGTTCTGAAAGCTTAATGTGGGCATGAGATGAGTCAACCTGCTGCAAAACCAGATGCTCCAGAGGACAGCCAGCCAGCCTGAGAGAGGGGCTGGGGAAGTGACAGATGCTGATGAAGGGCATAACCGACAGGTTTGTCACCATGAAGTCCTGTGGTTATAGGTGCTCAGGGTCATGTTGTTTAGTTGCTAAGTTGTGTCTGACTTTTGTGCCACCCCATGGACTATAGCCTGCCAGGCTTGTCTGACTATGGCAATTCTCCAGGCAACAATACTGGAGTTGGTTGCCATTGCTTGAAACAAGTTCCTTTTGTTGCACTGGTAAATATATTTGCATAAAAACAAAAGGGTATGATTTTGTTTTGTTGTTGCTCAGTCTTGTCCGAATCCTGGAAACCCAATGTACTGCAGCACACTAGGCTTCCCTATCCTTCACCATCTCCTGAAGTTTGCTCAAACTCATGTCCATTGAGTCAGTGATGTCATGTAACCATTTCATCCTGTGTTGTCCCCTGATCCTCCTTCCCTCAGTCTTTCCCAGCATCAGGGTAATTTCTAATCAGTCGATTCTTCACATCAGTGGCCAAAGTATTGGAGCTTCAGCTTCAGAATCAGTCCTTCCAATGAATATTCAGGGTTGATTTCCTTTAGAATTTATTGGTTTAATTTCCTTGCAATCCAAGGGACTCTCAGGAGTCTTCTCTAACACTGCAGTTCGAAAGCATCGGTTCTTCAGCACTCAGCCTTCTTTATGGTCAAACTCTCACTTCCATTTCATGACTACTGGAAAAATCATACCTTTGACTATACGGATCTTTGTCAGCAAAGTATGTCTCTGCTTTTTAATATGCTGTTTATGTTTGTCACAGCTTTTCTTCCAAAGAGTAAGCGTCTTTTAATTTTAAGGCTACAGTCACCCTCTGCAGGGATTTTGGATCCCAAGAAAATAAAATCTGTCACTGTTTCCATTGTTTTCCCATCTATTTGCCATGAAGTGATGGTTCTGGATGCCATTATCTTAGTTTTCGAATGTTGATTTTTAAGCCATCTATTTTACTCTCCTCTTTTGCCTTCATCAAGAGGCTCTTTAGTTCCTCTTTGCTTTCTGCCATAAAGATGGTGTTATCTGAATATCTGAAGTTTTTAATATTTCTCCCAGCAATCTTGATTCCAGCTTGTGCTTCATCCAGCCCAGCATTTCACATGATGTGCTTGGCATAGAAGTTAAATAAGCAAGGTGACAATATACAGCCTTGACATACTTCTTTCCCAACTTGGAACCAGTTTGTTGTTTCATATCCAGTTCTAACTATTGCTTCTTTTACTGCATACAAGTTTCTCAGGAGGCAGGTAAGGTGGTCTGGTATTCTTATCTCTTGAAAAACTTTCGACAGTTTGTTGTGATCCACATGGTCAAAGACTTTAGGATAGTCAATGAAGCAGAAGGTGATATTTTTCTGAAATTCTCTTGCTTTTTCTATGATCCAATGAATGTTGGCAATTTGATCACTGGTTCCTCTGCCTTTTCTAAATCCAGCTTCTATATGTGGGAGTTCTTGGTTCCCATCCTATTGAAGCCAAGTTGGAAGGTTTTTGAGCATTACTTTGCTAGCATGTGAAATGTGTGCATTGTGCGGTAGTTTGAACATTCTTTGCCATTGGAATAAAAACTGACCTTTTACAGTTCTGTGGCCACTGTTGAGTTTTCCAAATTTGCTGGCATATTGAGTGCAGCACTTTAACAGCATCCACTTTTAGGATTTGAAATAGCTCAGCTGGAATCCCGTCACCTCCACTAGCTTTGTTCATAGTGATGCTTCCTAAGGCCCACTTGACTTTGCACTTCAGGATGCCTGGCTCTAGGTGAGTGATCATACCATCATGGTTATCTGGGTCATTAAGTTCTTTTTTAATATAGTTCTTCTGTGTATTCTTGCCACCTCTTTTTTTTTTTTCATTTATTTTTATTAGTTGAAGGCTAATTACTTTACATTATTGCAGTGGTTTTTGTCATACATTGAAATGAATTAGCCATGGATTTACATGTATTCCCCATCCCGGTCCCCCCTCCCACCTCCCTCTCCACCCGATCCCTCTGGGTCTTCCCAGTGCACCAGGCCC